AGGTGAAATAGTTATAATTTACTAAAAAAAATAATTTCATCGCGGAATAACGGCTACTAAGTTGTTTCTCGGTTCATCAAACTGATCGTCTTGTCGATTGCTAGACGAAGAAATATAAAGAAACGAAAGCACTTAGAGGAATTACTGAAACAAAATACACTACAACATCTTGGCAGAAAAGGTGGTGCTTTATTAGTGAACAGCAAAAATAGCACAAAAGCACCCAGGCCAAGGCGAAGCAACTGCCAAAAAGATGTAAAATAATGTGTTGTATGAATGTGTGTGTTATTGGTGTATAATGTGTGTGTGTGTGTGTGTTGTACAGAAACAAATACAATTTAAAAGCTAGGCAACAAGAGATTGACAATACAAGCTCAAAATTGCTAATTAAAGCTCAAATAGATTTAAGGTAACTGTCTAAAAGTTGAAAGTACTGGCCATAGCCTGGGTGATCGAAAAACGAAATAAGGGTGGAAGAGCTATGTAGCCTCTGTAGGCCAAAGACTTCCAGTCACCATGTGCCTTTATGAGGTGATCTGAAACGCCTGCAGCTGCTGCTAAAGTAGCTCCTTACCTATGCAGGCTATGGACAGTATAGTTTAAGGGGTCAAGCCCAATGTCAATGACCAAAGACTTAAATTTTTGGGTGAGTGCATGACTAGTAAGAGTAGTGAGAGATCCTGAATGAGAGTATACAAAGGCAGGTGAGGCCGCTGAGGCAGGGATGTGAATTAACAGGTTATAATATGCAGTGACTGGGCAAATAATCGAGTTACATAGTTTCTGATTGATTTAGTGCTTTTGAATGAATCCGAAAGCACGCTTGCATATATACATAATAGCTGGGAATGGTGCAGCAAGCAAGGTATGAATTTAGCTGGCAGTGCAAGTTTTTGTAAGTTCCTGGGAGGAATGCTGATTTTTGAATAGTTTTAACTTCAGCTTTTATTTCCTTTATTGTAGTACCTAAAATATCAAATTTTATGGTTAATTATAAAATCTAGTTCTTGCACATGTTGTTCTACCAGTTTAAATTGTGACATAGAGCTGATGAAATTCACTTCATGGGATTGGTGCTGGTGCCACCGTGAAAGTAGATTGGCTGCTCTGTTGTCCACCCCATACAAATGAGTTTCCCTTAGCCGTATATTGTATGTTGTCGTTATCAACCAGATATTTCTCTCGATTTGAAGTAACTGCTCCTCTCTGCCAGACCCAGAGTTAATGATGTAAACATAGACTAGGTTATCACGGTATATAATGAGTGATTTTCCCGATAACTGCATTGCCCATAGGCGTAGTGCAACCAGAATGGATGTCAGCTTCAGTGCGGCTATTGGCATGTTAAGCATTGTGGTAGGGAATTCAGTATGAAAGTACTCAATAACACTTGTGTGTTTTTTTGGAGCCAGCCACCATAACCAGTAAGGCATGCATCCGTAGCAAGTCGTATATCTGGTGCTGAGTTTCTTAGCAACAATACATGAATGCGATCCACCATGATACATCCCTATGGAAGTAGGCACCGAGTTTAATATGATGATGTTTCTTGTTGGTCTTACGAAGGAGTGCCAACATGCGACACAGGAATAGTCGTGCAGGATGTATACAGTCTGCTATAAATGCCAGCTTGCCAATGAGTGATTGAAGCTCTCGTTTGGTGCATTTTTTCCTGAGCTCTTCTGCTTCACTGAGTTTTTGCTCTGGGATACTAACTTGCATCTTTATTGTGTCAAATTGATTCCCAAAAATGTTAGACAGGTGGTTGGTGGGCAGCATTTTTCAATTGACAGCTCAAACCTGTACTTAGTAATCGTGTCTTTGAGCGAGTTGTAGGCTTTCTGTGCATTCCCTGGAGCCTCTCCTCCTTCAAAGTCATCAATGTAGTTGGTGGCCTGGTATCCCAATTTGCGATAAATGTACATGAGCCTGTTTGTTGTTCTTTTACATGCCATGGCGGCTGACCGAAGACCGAATAGCAGTTTGGTATTGAAAAACTGTAATCCCCTCCATGCCAAACCTAACAGATGATAGTCATGGGGATCGACTGGAATCCATCTGTAGCAACGCCGTATGTCGGCTTTGAACAATAAGCAGCCTTGACCATAATGGTTTATAATTTGAATCAGGTTGTCAGTTGGTGAGTAATGAAGTTTATATGGATCACCAAGAAAAATGTCATTTGGTATGCCATCGTTGACTGCTGTGCCTGCCTACCTACCTAGAAACTATCTAGAGTTATCCTAAATTAACCAAACTTTTCACAATACTGCTAAATATTTTACTATATTGACGGCTAAATCATCCTACTGCCACACCGTTTCTGCTACAGAAAATAAAAAAATGAGTTTCTCACTTTGAAAACAGCCATAATCTACAAACAACGCGTACTCTTTCGTCGGATTCGAAAAGTGAACACCTGCATGGCAAAATTTTGTTGGGCGTCTTTGAAAGTAGTACCACTGCGACGCATTGACCAATCAACGACAATATATCGCGTGGTGGCAGAGATATATTTGTAGGAATAAAACTCTGCCTGGGAGATTGGTTAAACCCCTGGTGATAGCCTTGTTTGTTTTTATTGTTAGAGGACGCTTACGCGCGTAATCATTTCATATTTGGAATTCGCATTTCCTTATATGGTATGATGAAAATACCCCGTTACGGTGACAGATGTATAATAATATTTTGCATAACCAATAACAAGGTTGACATTTGTATTGTACATTTACAGTTACAGACAAGATTTGTGTTGGTCCACGATATTTTGAGGTAAACACAGATACATTAGATCGGTTGACGGCAAAAGACACATGCGAAATTCGAGGTTGGATGCTGGCCAGGGTAGATACAAAATCAGGTGATACACAAATCAGGAGTGAATCATCTTCGCCAGCCAAGGGCCATTTATTCGGCCGAAGCCTTAAAATTGACCCTTGGCAGATTTCACCATGATATACTGTATGTCGCACGCCCTCAAGCGATTAAAAGATTCCCTTCGGCTCATTTGCATCACCTAATCAGAACTCACGAAAGAAACGACACAGTTTGCACAAATATTTAGAAATTCCATCGTCTTCATTCACTTGCCCACAAACATACAGGCCTTCTGTTCTTGACTCCTGGTGAATCAGTGCAAAGCCTTCACGCTGCTCGTGTTTTAATCTGCGATGAGCTCCCGACCTTCACATTTATGATACAGCAACGCTGATTGGTGGCGCCAGCTCCTTGGCGCGCCTAATCAAATGACTCAATTTAGCTGCATTGAATACAGCTTGTCCTAACACAATCACGCACGGGTTCGAGGGCCGGTTATGAATGGCCGGCTTTAGCAAAACTCAGCGATTCGGACGATGGGAGTGAATATAAATATGAATTTGATCTTAGCGTCCCCAATGGTTTCTGGTTTGATTTAAATGATGTTGACAACGAACGAACATTTGTCTGGAGCGATGGAAACGTTTTTTTTTATATTTATTTGAAAGTATCATTTTTTTACGTTTGTGACTAAAAGTCTGTGTATTAAACATATAATAATAACATAAACATATGATTTTCTAAAAACCGATATCAGTGATCGTGTAATTTATTATTGTGAATAGCTTATGATAAAATAATTATTGGGAAACTTTATCATTTATCAACAAAAGGGCGGTGGTCGTCGCGCTGTGTCACATTTGTGTTGATAAACATGGATTTTCCCACAACCCACTGCGCTCTTCAAATGGAAAGTATGAGGTTTGACCTGGGCGCGACTTTTACTAATTACCACTGGTGACTCTTTCGATACCTTCCAATAACATGAAAATTACCCAATTAAAGCTTGGAAACGTCTCAGTTCGTACTCGTTGATCTGCGCAACAGTCAAAGTCGCCATCTTTGTTTATATGAGACCCATATATCTCGCACATGCGCAGCGCGACGACTACCGCGCTTTAAGTTTAGTTCTCTCCTGCTTGTGCATAGACTAATAACTTATGCGATTACCATCTCAAATTCTTTGCCATATATTAAAATACATCGTACTGCAGTGAGTGAGAAATCTATATAGCACCCTCAGCGGTGAGATTATTATTGGTTGACCGGGTAGTACAAGTATGTTGTTGTATTTTATAATAAATGTGAAATTCAATATCTGTAAAAGTGAATGTACAAGCGAACATAAAAATAGATAACAACTAAACACACTTGTGTTTATACATTACATCACCATTAAACCAGAGATGGTCAATCCCGACAGATATCGTAGTGACAATATTACAGCGCTCAGTGATCTTTTAATTATGTATACTGAACAAAGTTTAAACTAACTAGCCTAGAGTTAGTGCATTTGCTGACGTCTCTATGAATAAGACCACTAATTCATTGACATAGGTGAACGGTTTGTTTTATTTGGCTTGCAAATATAATATGTGATAATATTGGCTAAATCTGAGTAGAGTGCTCTAAGGATGGATGCAGTGAATTCCCGATAATAACGCCCCCACAATTGTTTTTAAAGTTAACCTTTGCCCTGCAATGTTCCATATGTGTGTATTTCAATGTTTTGTTAAATTCTTTTGAAACGATTATAGCCTCACATTTTCATTGAGCAGCCATTTAGATTACCGCAAAATAAGCCCGAGCGTCAAAGTGAATATTGTGCTAACAGGCCGAGAGGTACTCTGACAATGTTCATTGTTTTGAAGATATATAATCACGATATATAGGTACGTCAGTTTTACTTGATAGAAAAAAACAATAATCTGTTCTACCCCACCACCCACCCCATTTTATAATATTGAAACCATTACTAACACTAAATAGCCCTCAGTATATGTAAATTGCGTTGGCAATACAAACATTAAAAACTGTGTACAATTCATGTTACCATCATAGTTTAAAGTATGTGTCATTGACAAACGTGTAATGTGCGTAGATATTTACATATATTGACTCTGTGAATACTGACAAAAAAAACACATGGCACGAAATAATAAACTATTAATTCTCGGTTTATATCAGATGTTCGTAAACACCATTTGATTATGGTAAAATATATGATGAATGTGTTGATAACCAACCTATCGATGACCAATTGTTCATGACGATTCATTTCATCGTTTTCTAAATCCCTAATTACTATGATGTTCATAGTTAACCATCGGTCCAATATTCCTTATTGTATTTGAGTTGAGTTCCGTGCAATTGGATATTACTATTTACTAATAATCATGACAAACGACAAAAGCAAAATGAGTTAAAGACATTTAATATAAGTATCATTCAGAATATTAACAGTTACATGCAAACGGTAATATAGATTACGTGAAGCAAGCTGTTTAAAATAATACTACAAGTACGCATGCGCCGAAATACTAACGATTATGTTCATTTCTTTGTTTGATATATCACGTACTGGTCAGTATAGAGCGATTATGGACATGCTGTGGCAAAACCTGAAACGAGATAGTGAGTAAGCCATATTAAAATGTGAAAACGTTTCTACCTGAAATGTATTGCTGAGTGATATAGAATCAGACACACTTTAAGACAACAAATATAATCTTACTGTATTCGCATACATATCCAGCCAAGTTATCACAATTATTATCGTCCCATTTATAACCAACTTTTTTCCTGAAAAATAGAATAAAATTAAAATTAAAATCAAAAACAAATCATAACGTAACTGTTACATCACATGTAGGAAATCTAATTATTAAATAAGAAATATGAATAAATTATAAGAAAATTCTGAAATAGCGCAACATTATATCTAGAGACAATTTAGTGACAAAAATGCGAGATTAAATTTAAGGAAATACACTACATAATGAAAATAGCCGGGTCTATCTATGTATTCGATCATGAAAATTATATTCTGTAATGCTTAATATGATTTCTAAATAGCTTGCTATAACTTCAAGATATAGATAATGATAAATGACATTCACATTAATTTATTGAAACAAACTGGTTACTAATATATTCATTGGATTGAATAAAACAAATGAATTATTACAAGAAACGACAATGTCAAAATATCACCGTAATTATTCTCTGGAATAAGTTGTCGTTGGCGTTCCGCATTATGATAAACAAGTACTTATATATGGTCAAACGAATTACTTATTCAGTTTTTTTAATTCTGTTTAAGATTTATCTCATATTTAATTTTTCACGATTAGCCGTTTGTAATCACTTCAATGCTTACCATAATTGTGCACAGTCTTGTCCTGTTGGGCTGTTTTTCATATTGTTGTTTGGTTGTCTTCTCGCCCAATTACTGTAGTCGCCATTATTCAGCGATGTCCCATCGCTCCAGATAAACGACCCTTCATTTTCACCGTCATTCAAACCAAACCAAAAACCAGTTGAAATACCAGCACCAAGATTATTTTGCTCTATATTTCTCCTCACTTGGGTATCGGTCATTTCTGTATTCAGCTTGGCTAGCATTCCTCCTCTCGCTTCACAAGTGTCTCTTGCCATAGACCAAGTTACTTTGTCTGTATTGACTTCAAAATAACGTTCACCAACACATAGCTTGTCTTCTAAATACATAATAAACAATACATACATTATTGAATGTGCGCAATATGGTATACAATGTTAGCAAATATTGAAGTGAAAATAGGCTTGGTACACACTTACCTTCACAACAACATGTCTTCTCGTTAGGCATCACTTCATGCAACTGAGAGGCAACAATTAAATTATGAATATGTTAAAAATGAATATTCATGACACAACAATATTTGTATATGCATGGTAATCATATGTTTATAGATACATTATATTCGTGTTTATAGATGACATTTGGTTTATTTGCGGTTCAGTCTTGGCATGAGAATTCCAGTTTGTCATAAACAGTTCAGCCAAGACCAGCCAATATGAATTGCTAGTTATTATTATACAAGTAGTTGTCAAATCAATCAGTTACAGAAACTAATTGCATAAACATTTTTAACAAGCAGCCCAATTAATTGCTATCATACATTACCCTGAACAGCGCCTCCAAATAGTAGCAACCGCACGCAGATTCTTCGATACATATTCCACCTTCATCTAAAACAAGTCCTTCCCCACAAAAACACCCCTCAATACACTGTTCAGTACATGAACCTAATGGATGGGGATCCAAACATGTCGCTGGGCAAAGTGGACCACATGTTGTATAAACCATGCCTTCTACTGGACAATCGATCTCTTTTCAATAGAAAAACAAATAATCGACCAAGCATATTCGTCATTTGTTTTATTTGTATGTATTGAAGGCGAGGAGATATAGTAATAGAAATGTCACTATCACTAGATAGACAATATTTATATGTGCTGCAGGATAAACATGTCATTGTTGACAATTATGGTATAATTGTACTTCGAGCCAGCTTTGTATTACCTTCGCCGAAATAATAGTGCACTGCGTTTGCGATATACCAGTAGACTTAATTTAAACTTTCACAAACAATATATAAACTGTATTGGACAGAGTTTTGTATAATTATGAGTAAAATAAGAAGTCTTGCGATAAATTGTGTCATACATACCACACTGGGTTCCTAATCGCCAGTCCCCGATGTGGATGCCAGCAGCATTACATAGTGATACATAGTCAGCAATTATAGAACATCCCTCAGTGATATCAGGAAGAGAGAACATGACGTCCATCACACAGGATACATGATGGTCAGTTGGGTCAACTGCTCCCATACAGTTAGGTATATTCCCTGAAAAGTTCATAGTTACAATATTAGGAGATTATGTGTAAAAATAGGGATATTCATACCACTGGAAAACAATCTCACGACGCGTGACGTCACGACATTTTAAATATACCTGTGTTGAATAATTCATCGCAAAGCTGGTTTGCCTCTTCTTCTGTCCCACGAGGCAGTACTTCGCTCACGGATCGCTTACCAGCGTTACAATCTGCTCCAGGTATTATCCAGCTGTTTCCAAAGGTGTTAACGTTTCCTGTCTGTTGTGAATACGGAGTAGAAAACTGGATCATTTGCGCATAGTCATTATCGTATTTAATCTGAATAATAATATATACACGAACACAAATACACAAACACGAATTCACCATTCCTACCACACTCACACTCAATTGTGACAATAATGATTTCACCGCAAACCATTCTTACCGTAGTGCCATCGGGCATCTTAAAATCGTCGGCAATATCACCATTAAAGTTACCACAAAGACCGCATAATCTTCCTTGGTGTGCATTCGATACATCAACAAGAAGGCTGTGCTTTCCATCAAAAAATATATTAACTCCATAACCAGTTGTAACAAGCTAAGACAGAAACAAATGTTCATATAAACACAGTACATAATTTTGTTTATGAAGTACACAGAACTTTACCAAGATGATATGGTAATCATAAACAATGTCCTACCAGGTAAATTCCGGATATTGTAATGCTCACGGTGTCAGAAGGGTTGACAGGTGGGGCTACAGTGGCACCGCCGATCTGCAGTTGGTTTCCTTGCATCAACAGTATATCCTGCAAATATGTGTTACATCTTGCATTCAATGTTCAAATAAGTGTCTATTTTTCGATGGCATTATATTTCAATTATTAGCTATTAGAGAAATTGTTACAATACTAAATAGACTATGTTGACATATTGGAGTAGCCGAAGATATTGGAGCAGCAATAAATTATGTTGAAAAGTGGTTCAAGTTGAAAAGCATATCAGGTAGCATCCTATAAATCAATACCAATAATTACGTACCAAGTCATCGACCAACACTCTGACCTGCTTTGTCGTGGTCACGCCACTCGGTGCCCGAGGCCAATCGTGATTCTTCACAATAATTTCTAACGGAAACATTTCAAATGGGCATTTGCTGCTGAGAAATGTGTATTCACATTTTCCTTGGTAGTGGAAGTACTTGTTGTCAAAACTCGTGTAATGCGGGTCGCCGATAGCTTTGCATCTGTCTTTACCTGTGGCGTACACATGAATAATATGAGTCGAGACAAATATGATCACAAACAAAAATGTTTTCATACACACAGTTTTCATCGCAACCTCTTGTTTTGTGACACGGACACATACAATAATGTCATTATTTATTATGTTATTCTTATTACGCACATTCTATGTAAGTAGTAAAAGTTTCAATTCATATATAACATGGCAGAAAGTTGCTATCATACCTGAGCAGTCATCCATGTACTCAGTGCAGCAGTCGCCAAACAATATACACTGAGCGTCACACCAACAGTCTCGTTGGACGAGTTTTTCTCCACAATGGTCTTTACAGAACTCTATATGAAGAGAATATGGCAGTGAATATATTGAACAACAGTGTGCGTATTATGTTAGAGAAAATGTACTAATTTATACAGGCACGTCTGAGTTGAAAAATGACTTACGTTTTGGACAACAGATTGCAACGGGGTTGATTGTTGTGCCGCTAACTTCGTGACAATAGTGGAGAGTTGTACAAACACCTCTGTCTACTGGTGTTCGAACTCGAGGCATCATGCAAAATCCACCGTATGCTGTGTTGTCTGGACATTCCCAATCTATTTGAATAGTAATACGTGCAATGATCAGTGATTTATTTTATTTCGCTGTATTTGTGCCAGGCGACATTACCGAACATTGAAGTCACTGCTTACTCTCTCCTAGCTTTGTTCTTGCTGATTGCATGTGTGCAAACAAGTCCTGCAAACTATATATTGAGTGTTTGGATGGCAAGGCGGTCTGTACTACGATTTATACTGCTGAGTAGTCAGTCGGTTTCGGGAATATATCCCTAAACTTTCCTAGTGAACTCGTTCCCCACTGCACCATCACCAAAGTCGGTTGCTTTAACTATCTACCTACTATATTTCATTCATTTCTCAATGTTATGTCATTGGAAATATCATAATTTCATTTAGAGTGATTCTCAATATGTTTAAATAGTGTGTTTGAACTTATGTATTTACCTATGATTTTGTATACATCCATGCGTTGAGCAGTTCCTAATCCGTATCTGCATCCACTCGATGCGCCAGCGTTATCGTAGTCAGATGTCACGGACGCTGCATGACATTCGCCGTTGTTTTTGAAAACGAAAAAATCTTTGTCTTCAAAATATGCCGCCCTCGCACATCCCTGATGAGTAAAAAAACACGACAATATTCTAGTGTGTAATAACCAGTGGTAATAAACCCAACTATGTATGACCAATCAGACACTAGTAAGATACCTAGTTAGTTAGTTAGTTAGTTAGTTAGTTAGTTAGTTAGAGTGAGGTATTATATAGGATATTGTATTATATACATATAATGTACTGTTAATTTGGATTGTTTGGTAAATGAAGGTTTTCGCTATAGAAGATCAGTGGATACGTCTATGTGACGGGACGAATTTGACAGCGTCAGTCAAATCAAAATATATATATCATATTAGTTCAGTAGATCAAGTATATCCTACCAACCTATCATCGTAGTCATCATCAGAGCGTAGTCTAGTATCGTTTCAGATTAATTAGTCAACACTGACAATACAAAAACACATTAGTTTGATACACCTATCTAGTCCATACTTACTCTAGCTGCGTCGTCTGGGTCCACATATGGGTTCCCTGTATCCTCCAAAGAAATCACTTCAGTTGTGAACTTAAAGCATCCCATGTGTTCATAATCTACACGAATATTATAGAAATAAAAACATATATATATATGTTCATAGGCTGATCGATAATGAACATGACCGAACAAAGAAATCATATCCTTTCACAAATTCATACCGTTATCAATTAATCGTATTGCCTGATGATGATAAATATATTATATTCAACGTAAAAAATGAATTTTCCGAACATTTTATGCAATTATTGCTAATGACCCCACTGATACAACCCCTCCCCTACTGTCCCCTACACAAGCAAGCAAATAATCACAAAATATTTTAGAATCTTACTTATTTCCAACGGACAATCTACCGTCATACAGGTTCGCGTTTTTGTATCATCTCCTGTGCAGGTCCCTGTACAGGTCCTTGTTTTAGATTGAGTTCCGCCACCACAGGTCACTGAACATTGATCCCAAACACTCCACTGAGACCATTCAGCGAATACAGGGGCTACGGATATATACAATTGTTTTTATAATATATACCAAGCCATGAAGCGGACAGATCAGCATTTATATATCAGCAAAACAGGCTTTGAATAACAATAAATAATAATATGTATTCTACCAAACACTAGCTTAGGTTACTGCGATATACATACCTAGAAAAGCGAATACACAACAAACTCGAAAAATCTCCATAACTGTTTGAAAAAAAAATAAGCAGAAGAAACACTATTTGTCAAACTTTGTAAGGATAAATCACTGTCACCTACATACACGTGCAAGAAAAACAATAACAAAAATTAGTTTTGTGCAATCTCCCATGTTTGTTGTAAGTACGATATGGACTTTCAACAAAACGTACAGAGCCGCATCACTTGGACTTTCCAAATCATCTTTAACACTGAAAGCAGATTACAATCACCGACACACACACATAAATCAAATAAAACCAACAACATATAAAATAGTACAATTTACTTGGGATATAACATATATTGGGATTGCAAAGTGATGTTACAACTATCTGTTATTTGTGAACACTAACATATATCAGATGTGTGCCTATATGTATGTTGTAACGCCATACGCACCACAACTCATCTCAGTCTCGGTGAATTTAGTGAGAGCGTCGCCAGATTTGAAGATTAGGGGAATACTGGGTGAACAAAAGATGAAGCAGTAACAGTAATTGTCTACAACAAGCTCCTTTATATATTGTTGTATGCGCCATTTATTTAAAAATTAACAGCGAAAATCAAATATATAAAATAACTTCAATAGCCACCTCGTAAAATACTGAAAACAAATATAAATGAACGAAAGAAATAGTGCGATAATTCAACATACCTTGCAATCTTGTAAACAGTACCAGGTGTAGAGTTAGGTAAGTGTTCAATGTATTTATACAATGCAAAACTACGTCATACACGCTATGTCTAAATTCAATTTCCATAGTTCAAAGGGTTATTATTAGGACAAGGTTTGTTTGCAATTGTGTCAGAGTGACTTGGTTGAGAGTGTTGAATTAAGGCCTGCCACCCACGTACTAGAATATTTACATTATCATTAAACCTTAATTACGTTTACTCGATAGATAGCTCTAGTAAAGTAGATGTAACATCTGCTCATTCTATGTTCGTTTTCACTGTTCACCCCCTCCCCAAGGGTTTGCCAAGATTCCAAACTCCGTAGCACGAGTGGAAATTTTAAAAATGCTACAAGTTTTCGCTGAGTTAAAGATTCAAATAAATGATAAAGCGCAAATACATATCTGGGGCAGCCGAATATATTTCAATGGAAACAGTGGCGTTGTAACTTGCTATAATGTTCAACCTTCTTTTGATAATTTAAGAATGTTTCAGAAAATTTCTGTTCCAGCTAGTATCATTAACATAACTGTATTGTTTACATTACAACGTTGCAGTAAAAATGCTAACTTAAAACGTAATAGTTCTGAGTTTCTTTTCATGAATTTGCAATTATTTGTGGTTGCATCTCAACGTGTACTGTGTCTGTGTTAATTCTCATTCTATCTTGTTAATCTGGTACCATCAGCATGTGCCATACTGTTTTATGGCCTGATTATAATAGCAATGTGTAAGTGCTAAATGAGACGATTGTATATTCTCTATAGACAAGGAAAATGTCATGGTTTGTGCTATTTTATCCGCCAGATTGTTCAAAAAAGCGACTTTAAAAACAAAAAATCATCGGACTTGTAACTCCAAAGCCATGGTATAGTAAATCAGTTCAGTCCAATACTTGAGTTAACGAACGGTTGGTTGTTCTTCTCTTGGTAGACAAGTTTATCTACAGGTGACATGATCGTGCTGTGACGGTTGTGTTGAGCATACAGCCATTATTGGGCAATTGTATATTGTGCTTCATCACAATAACTTATACATGGAATTCTAATAAAGTAAAGTATACGTGACAGTATAGTGTACTCAGTATGAATGACATGTCATGTCTTGTCATTTGTACTACACACAGTGTAGTCATGCTCACCCAATTTGACTGACAATGTCAAGTGGCTACAGTATGCACAACGACATGATCTGACCACACACACTACCATTAAATGTCTTATCTTAATTCCTATAATAGTAATCCACAGTATATTTGTTTGTAGGTTAATTACTAAAACACGCGACAACACAGTTGTCTAAATCAATTTATTGAAATTGCTATTGTGCCATATGTGATTGGTAGATGCAATTACAGTCGAACGTGCATGAATTATATATCTTCATATTCTGATATCTAGAGAACAATCAGAATTCAAAACATTATTGTATCAAAACAACGTCAAATAAATACGACATTTTTACCTGATGACACCATTCGGTAAAAAAAGATTTCAGGCTAATTATTTGTTCATTTTGACAAGCGAAAAATCAAGCCTAGTTTGTGAATCCCCAGAACTAACCACATTTTTGATAGACTGTTATATCCACGATTCTGGATGTAAATAACATTGTTCTCTCCTATTGGCTCATTTCAAAATTAGATTAAAATTGTGCATCTCATCTTTAACTATTTTGTGTACATTATGTGTGTAGTCTTGCAGGCCAGAAAACGTGCATGTCATCTGCAGTTCAAACAATGTTCTTATGTCGTGGGGAACTATTGAACTCAAAGTGAGTGGTCTTGTTACACTAATAACCCTAATCAATCTCAAATACCACATTGACAATTTCAATTGTTATTACTTCAGTATTGTATTGTATTGTGTGGTTTTATTAAATTTATAATATTAATGACACACAATCAGTCTCGTACATGTATATTCGACTTTTGGTCAGAACCCTTGATTGTTATACAAATATATCTGTTTAATTTTTTTTTTTTAAAGATTCCTCTCATTAATAAATAGCGCCCTCACTCAGCAATATTTAGAATGAGTAGTTGGTCAAAAGTTTGATGAGTCAGTGCTCAGCTTGGCTAAGCTTGTTGTACATAGATGCAAATGAATATAGGAACCATTAATGCTGTAGGGTGTACTGGGAGGGGTGGAGGATTTCATGTTTGTAATGACTGGTTGTAATGCGCTATCTCGTTGTTTTCAGGATGCAGCCTGATATTTGTTGCTTTCT